GTTGCCCTCTCTTTTACTCATTGTTCGCTTTCTTTCTTTCTTTTCTTTTATTTTTGTTCTCGAAATTATTAACATTGTAGATACATGAATATTAGTACAAAAAGTTTTATCTCAAAAGTAGGCACAAAGGGTATTTTTTGTTTCACTTAATGTATACATAAATTTAGATAAAAACTTTTACGTAATTAACGACAAAATAGATCGATTCTGTCATAAAATTAATTTCGAAAACTCTTTCCACTGGAGATCACTCGAGTTACTAGTTTGGACAATGCAAAATAATTACAGGTAGCCGTCAACCGTGCGGAACTAACCATAATTTATTTTTCACTTTATAGGCGAACAAAAAATTGAAGATCAACTTATTATAATATAAATTAACGATCAATGGTGCAACTTTCCTTTAATATGCTACTTTCAAATTCAACGCACTATAATTCATGTAAGGCAAAATAAAATTTAAAAAATAATATAAGTTTTCGATAATACGACAGTTGATATATATATTACCGTTAGTACGACATTTGATAATTTGAATTTGAATTTGTTATGATAGATTATTAAAAACAAGCATTCAATTATTTTTCAATTAAGGTTTCAAAAATAATTGTTTTTCAGTTAAATGGCCAGCGTAAGCATTTCGACAATTCAACATAAACCCAGCCAAATGGTCCGAATTTCCCGGCAAATAAATCAATTTTTTTGTCCTTCAACGCCGTATGCCGTATCAAACGGCTCTTGCCTTGTCCATACGCAAAATAATACCTCAAAAGAAACAAAAATAAGAAAAGACACCTTTCATTCAAGACTCTTGTTTGCACGGAAATACACTTTTTTCATACTCTTGAACAGAAATCAGAAAAGCAGAAAATAATTACTGGGTTTGAAGTGTAATTGATGAGGAAAGTGTGAAATGGAGGGAGCACATGAGGAATTGGAGAGAAGGAGCAAGTTCTTGAACAGTTTGATACAAAAGAAGAAGGATGTCGAGCATAAGAAGCAGAATGACCGTATGAATGTGCGTGTGAGGGCTTCAGATATGCCTTTATCTTTGCAAAATCACGCATTTAGGTTTGCTAGAGATAATCTAGATTCAATGGCGTCTGGGAAGCTTGACAGCAAACGCCTTGCTCTTGCACTCAAGAAGGTAATGTGGGTTTTCTTACTAATCATACTGTACAATTATTCCCTCGACCGCAAATCTTTTAGGCGTATTTTGGATTCAATGACATGTATTAGGTAAGAACATGAAATTCTAGTTGGTAGAATTGAAAATCCGGGAGGTAAGGTGTATGCCCCTCCATGTACATATCATGTTTGGTGAGATTAAAATGAGATTAAAATCTTAAGTTAAACTTTTAAAGTCATCGATTTTTACAGAAGTTTTCAACTACACATTTCATCAACTTCTATCAAAATTTGCTAAAAAATCTGATTTTAATGTAAACCAATCAGGGCATACTAGGTAGGGGCAATGCCAAAACCCATTCTGTTTGAAAATGGTGCTGTTTTGGCATAATTTTGAGTCCGGCCCTTTTTTCGTTTAGGAAGTTCAAAGTAGAGTTAACAAGAAGGGCTAAATTTATATAACATTCAAAGCAAAAGGGTTGGAAAATGGAATGCTGTTTTATTTAATTAAATTTTTGTTGTCATGTAGTGGTTTCTTTGGGTTAAGGATTTGGAAGATTTTTATGTGTGTGTAGGCTGATTATATGGTAAAGGGTAAAATACATAATACTATAATAGAAGAATAATAACCATACTATGTTAGTAGACATAGCCTATTGCTATTGTGTTGGAAATGTTCTTGATAATATACGTATGTTCTTAAAATCTTCTTTACAGACAGTAATGTGTAATTCTTCCCAGGTGGTCCTATTATTGTGACAGGAGTAGAATAAGAACGAAAACAATCCCTTAGTTCCACGGTGAAAATTATTAAGGAATAAATTGTGCAAATCAACCCAATTCAATCTCCATCTCCAGTGTGTCGATTGTTAAACTATTTTTAGTTAATCATGGCTTAAAATTGCTTTAAATTCCATATACTACAAGAAGGAGAAATACATAGTTTTATTAGCAAATTGTAGGTATATCACAGCTTTTCAGCTCTGAATAGCGATTATATTTTCATCACCATCAATCATGGCCGAAGCATCAGCTATGAATACTCAAACTTCCATCACTCGCCACAATCATCACTCTCTCTTGCAATTCTCATAATAACCTTGTTGATCCTGTTTCAGTCAAAGTAGCAGCTCAACTCCAATTAAAGCTCAGTTGACCAAATTATGTGCATGTTTGGGGAAGTAGTTAAAATCTAAAAAGTATGTTTAACCAGCTTAGATTATAAATCACCTCCCAAACATGCGCTGCGTTTTTTGGAGATCTTGCTTCACACTCGTCTATTTGATTGCAATTTTTTAGGCTATCTGGATGGATCTTTAACTTTTCCACCAGACTTTCATAGCACTTTATACTTGTGATCCAGCCTACATGTTTGGCTATGTCTATACCAGTTACTTTTGCATGCTACCATTGCATCTATATCTAAATCTATTACACCCCCCCTCCCCTTTTGCCCCACGCATTGAGTTTAGAAGAGGTTTATTTTACTCAAGACACTTCAGTGTCTCAGCAGGTACAATTTAGCTAAAACATAATTCATCTTCCCATATGTAGACCAATTACTGCAGTAAATATTCGGTTCAATGCTTTCAGATGTTTTCAGAAATTTATAATCATCATTCTATCTGTCATCCCACTCTTCTCTAACAATACACAGCCGAAATTTTTAGAGTAGTTTCTAATGTAGTCCTCTTTAGAGGTAGTGTTCGACGTAAAGTTTTCTACAGCAGTAAAGGTCTTCACTGGAAGGCCCAATTATTCATTTTACACTGATCCGGATCCTGGGAAATTTCTTGCAAATGGTGCCGAAGTAGGGCACTAATTTACACTGTTTCAGTTCTATCTTTAGTTTGTTTTGCATTTCTAAGAATTTCGTATGCAATGGTGTTTCTGTTGTTTATTATTTTGTCTATAGCCTAGGTTGTCATAAGTGTCTTAGAATTGTTGACTAATTTTGTGCTCTGGAACAGGTTCTCTGGTCTGTGAACATATGCCAAGACTCTTGGACCCTGAGTTTTTAATATTATAGATAATCGCAGTTTGTTTTAGGTCATGAATGAATTATCAGATCTGCTCTTTCCATGATATCCCAGCATCTTTATAATAGATGTTGTCAGAGATCCTTAAGTTTGTCTGTGGAACATATTTCCCTTAATTTTTGCAGCCACTTAATCAATTCAGACCTTATTTAAATACAATTTGACCCCGGCATGATTTTTTCTAGCTTGCTATCAGAAGCATCTACATTTAACCACTAAACCTAGAGCAACCCAGCAAAATATCGATCTCAGGTCAGATTACTTCAGCCAGTACTAGATATACAACTATTCTTCATCTTCATCTTGGTGCAATAGATTCCTTTATCTCCCTAATTCCCTTTTCTATTTTTCAGAGGACATATTATACATGCTAAATATATAATAAGATTGGAAGAAAAAGCCTACTTTTCAGAGGACATATTAGATGCAAAAACTGCTGATCCGCTTTTTTGAGGTTGCCTGCTAGTTTTTATATATTAGTTGAGATGTAAATTTTCTCATATTTGACCTAGAATTGTTGTCCGTTTTTCGATTATAGTTTATATAATTGTCACTTCAGCATCTAGGATATGGTGCCCTCTATTGCTTCCCATTATTAAATAATCTGTACACCTTCTTTTGATTTAAAGAATAGGATTAAGAGGCACTGGATCCAAAAACCACTTTCGCCATCTGCTCCAAAGTTAGTCCCTCAAAGCAATGGTAAATAAATGAGAGAGGTCTCTATGAGTCTTCCCTTGGATACTTAAGTTAGAGAGTTGTAGAATAAACCTGCCTCGCATACATAAGATGTGAATCATAAGTCTGTATGTATAGGAGATTATCCCCTTCCAAATAAGAGAGTAGATATCAACAATGGCTTACCGTGCCACTGGGAGCAATGAAGTAGTGTCTGAGCTTTTGAGTAATGTAATACGGATTTTGGGTAGCATTGATGACAAACTGAGTAATGTTAACCCTGTTCTTTGGTTTAAAATTCCTTTCCTCTGTTCCGTTCCTAGTTCAATTTTGCATGGGCTGAGGCCTTGGCTCCTCGCTATAAGAGGTCAAGAAACACGACCCCATTAACTCATGTTTGAGTCTTAATTTTAGGGCTTGATAATATTTATCATTAACACCGGTCTAAGTGGTTGTGGGTCCTACAATTTATTGTCCAATGAAGTTGTAATGCTTTTTAATGCATTGAACAATGAAGGGTCCACTGCCAACTAGACTGGTGATGAATGAATATTATTATTCTAATTTTGGACTTCAAAATTAGCTTGAACATCTGAAGTATATCGCAAACAATTAAGTTAGGTTTTGCATTTGACTTTTATGTGCTCAAATTCGACCATCAAGGGAGGAAATTTTAGTTTACCATGATATACTTGAGAAAATTGTGATCTCTCTTGAACAAAGAGGATAGAACTAAGTGTCTGTTTGACATCTATTCATTTATGAGATTTGCTATACGTACATAGGAGTGTCAACTCCCGTGTACATGTGCCCCCCCCCCCTCCCCCTCTTATGAGGGGCATGTACACGGGAGTGTCAACTCCTGGGTACATTTAACATTTTTCTTCATTTATTTTATAGTTTGTTATATGATTATTTTCAATTACATATTCACACAATAAAATATTTTAATTTTTACACGTATGTCAAAATTTTTTCCCTAATTTTTAACTACATATTTTCCTAAAAATCACTATTCAAAACTCTTTTTTCTACAATAATGGCTGTCAAACAGGCTCTAAATATGAATATTATTTCCCTATCAAAATGATATATATGATATGTTCTTTGAATGTATTATCCTGAATCAATACTTCACTTAAAACGAAAATCCTTAATTAAGTATCGGATATAATAGGTAAAAATACTATTCCTTGTTATCGCTTTGTTTTGGACTCGGTTTCTTTCTCTCTGATTTTGGAGGGAATATACTTTTGTGCTTGATATACGATGAATGGACTGCTTACAACAAACTTCTATTTACCTTTCCAGGAATTCGACTCAACGTATGGTCCAGCTTGGCATTGCATCGTGGGAACTAGCTTCGGCTCATATGTCACACATTCCGTGGGAGGATTTTTGTATTTCTCAATGGATAATGTCTATATTCTTCTATTCAAGACTGCCGTTGAGCCTTTAGACATTTGACCATGCGATGTGGATTTTCAGATGACCTGTAAGATCTGAAATTCGAACAACAGATTATTTGATTGAAAAAAAAAAATGGAATGCATGATTCTGTTTTGGTTTATTTTGTGATAGAATTATGTTTCTCTCTTAAGATCACCTTTGAGTGTTGCTATTGTAGTTTCTTGTATCTTGAGCAAAGCTTTGAATTTTATATTGCTGGTTGAAGTTTATGGTTGTCAATATTCTAAGTTCTTGGAACTTTTTTACACAAAGCTTCCTGCTAAAATAACCCTTGGAGAAAGCGTCCACCTCCATTTCCTATTAGGGGATTTTTTGCTTGCTCCAAAATCTACTAAATTTTTTTTTTTTATGAATGCTAAAATTAAAGTAAAGATACTCAAGAAAATATTAATTATCACTTAAGAAAATAAGGCAAGTCTCAACATTATTTTAAGAACAAAAAGAAGTGATAATCAACCCAAGAATATTTCTTATACCATAAAATATGTTTTAATGTTGAGGATTAAGAAAGAAGGACGAGGAAACTCAAGAATCTACACTACGAACACACTGACTCAACACGGACCATTGACTTGACCAGACAAACACATCAAATTTTATCTTAACTTCATCAATTCAAATACTTACAAAAAATCTTTTGTATTTATAAATCTCTTGAAATATGTGGATGAATGTGATTTGAGTTTTTATAAATAATTTATAAACAAGAGCTAAATATAGATTTAGTTTAATGATGGTTTGGAAGGCAATCGTGAACAAAGAACCCTTTTTAGCCTAAATTGAAAACTTGAGAAGTTCGATGTCAACTAAAAGTATAAATTCGTTCCTAAATATGGAGGAATGATTTTTTACTTATAAATAAAAAATATTGATTTGAAGGTTAAGTTAATGAGTTACTCTTAAATAAATAAGTTATCTATTTTCTATCTTTACTAAAAAAATATATTTATTTTAAGAGCTTTTGCTTTGTTGCAAAAAGAATGAGCTGCATGATTAAGCATAAAGTGTTTAATATGTTTTAAAGTCAACATTTTAGTGTTCGCTTGTCTTATGAAATGAAACTTCTCCGCCGATATAGTGCTTCGTTGATTCAAAAGCTATGTCATTCCCGTTGCTGAAGCGCCTGCATTCTAGCACGACGCTCTTTTTTAGTTTTTATATTGGCTTGACACTTACTTTACGTGATGTCACAGTTCGATTAGAGTTAGCTCGACCAGCAGCCCATCCTAACATTTTCTTCGCCGATTCATTCATTCGGTTTAAAGGGTGTTATTAGAAAACCAAAAGAAAAGCAAGCCCCTGGAAGAGAAGTTGAAGTGGGCTTCCCAAGGAAGCCTCAGAATTGACTGTAATGAGTCCATTCGCAACGAACGTTCAATGATTACTAAAACAATTAAGCACATATGATTCATCGCGTATGTGTGGCGCACTGAACACATAGTTTCCGGAAGTTGTGTGGAATGTGCTTTCTTTTCGCTCTATGGGGGCGCGCAGGGAGCTTCTAGTGCTCTTGTTTTATTTGATTGTACTGTCATTTATTTTTACTAACTCAGGAACTTTCGCTTAGGGTGCATTCCTGATAAGTAAGCCGAGTTCTTCCCTTGAAAAAAGGACTCGGTGAACGTCTTTCAATGCTTTATTTCTTAGCTTAGTTCTCCCTGCTTTATTATATTAGATCCTTGTTGCTTAAGCTTCTCTGCTCTGATAAAGCAGTCTTGTTTAAACGCATGGTTTGCTAGTAGTGANTTTGTTTGTTAAATCCATGGTTTTGCAACATGGGAGTCTTAAACTTATTTGGTGCCTAAAATAGCAATATTTGATTGTTCTTTTGACAAAATATATCTTAAATTGTTTTACTTTATGTTATATAGGTAAAACTCATCAGTTGAATAGGGAATTGAAAGAAGAAAGCAAAAAAGTGGTGAAAATGACAAAGTCAAAAGTTTGAGGACCAAATTGTAAATATTCAATATTTGATTCGGACTACAAGACGATATTTTAAAGATTGTTAGGAGAGAATCAAATGGAATTAGAAGTCAAAAAAGAATGGAACATGAACAAAATATTATCAAAATCAATTTCCAATCGCACGAGTTATATTCCAGATTTTTAGCTGAAAATTGAAACCAATTTTTGGCAGGTAAATATTTGAATTGAAAAAGTTCTATTTATAGTAAAATTGTAGCCCTTCGAGTTAGGTTTCCAATGTACTTTGAATCGTCCCAATTAGATATCGGGCTAGAGTTATGATCAAAATACTAACTGTTGTACAGTCTGTTTTTACACACGTTTGCTTCTGATGAAAAGAATAAGCTAACTTTAAGAAAATTTTCGGTTAAACCTTCATTAAAAGTTAGTTAAAAGTTGATGATGTTTATGGATTGTCATCTTATGTATAATCTATGGTCTCATATACATCTCATACTACAATATTCAATCAACTATCATCATAAAATAGGGGCAAAATCATATATTGTGAGAAGATTTCGAAAGCAAAGTTTAGGAACTGTGATATTGGAGATTAAACTTGGGATTTGTGGACAAAGAAGCGAAACAATTATTGAAAATTTATCAAGGTTACTTTGAAAGAATTCAAGAACATCAAGATTCATCTTCCTTCATTCATCAATTCACAATTTCGGGTGATGTTCTATACATTTGATATGATTTTTTGTAATTAATTTTATATATTGGTAGGGTGAAATGAACCATTATTATGATATTTTTAGTTTTAATTAATTATTTTAACTTTAATTTGGTTTGATGTGTTGACATTTATTATAGTTTTTTATCGTGCTTTTCAATTGTTTGATTATTAGTTGAATTGTTAGTGGAATTTATCGTTATCGAGAGAGGCAATAAGGCTTAACCACAATATAATAAATATTGTAAGGTTCGATAGATGATAGATATATACTTCTATGCTTTAGGGTAATTGACGCAAAACGTCCTTACCTTTGCGCGTTCGTGTGCAAAACGTCCCTACCTTTACATTTTTGGTGCAGAACGTCCTTACCTTTACATTTTCTTGCGCAAAACGTCCATTTCGTCTCTTTTTGACCATTTTACATTTCTTGCGCAAAACGTCATTTTCGTCTCTTTTTTACCATTTTACCCCTCCATTAGAATAAAACAAGCACAAAAGAAAAGAAAAATAAAGAATAAATTGCAATTATAGGTTCAAAATTTTAAAAAGGTACAAATTACTAACGTTTTTTTTTTTTTTTTGCATTTTCCTCCTCCCCCTCCGCCTCCTCCTCCTCCTCCTCCTCCACCACCACCACCACGGTCGTCGCCAAAACCACCGGAGATCAGCTCACACCATAAACTGTTGCCATCAACGCTCAAACACTTGTGTTATGACAGAAATTTGATACAAATACTACTCAATTGAAAGGAGACCTAAACCCATAAGCATTCGAACTGTCCCATAATCAATTGCGTGATTCGTGCAAAATTGTTGAAGACCCATACTTGTAATAGCTTCACCACAATGAGAGGATGCTGAATATGGTGGTCCGCGATCACGATGTCCACCATAGTCGCCAGAATTTTCGTCTGAAACTTGCGTGATGACTACTTTCGAAATGTTTGGCTGCAGATATTGATTGGGTGGTTGAGTAGGTGTTTGGGGACCATGGTTTGATGCATCATGATGAGGGGAGTCTACCAATATGTTGGGCTTAGGTACTCTCAGCGGCCTTTCCATCAAGCGAGCAGTTTTGATTTGTGTGACCGGCAGATTTTGGATAGAAATTCCTACCTATTCACCTGGAGTTAGGGCCAATTGTTGGGTGGGTTGTGTAGACGGCAGGACGGGCTTCAAGTTGGTACTATGGTCCGATGGCCATGGTGGCCGGAAGGTGGTGAAAATCAGGTGGAGGAGGGGAGGAGAAGAAGAGAAGAGAGAGTTTTTTTTTGTAAATATTTTAATAATTTATTTGGACTCATTTGAACTTTTTAAAAAGTTTAGGAGTAAGATTGCAATTTATGCTTTATTTTTCTTTTCTTTTGTGTTTGTTTTATTTTAATAGAAGGGTAAAATGGTCAAAAAGAGACGAAAATGACGTTTTGCGCAAGAAAATGCAAAGGTAGGGACGTTCTGCGCCAAAAATGTAAAGGTATGGACATTTTGCACACGAACGCGCAAAAGTAGGAACGTTTTGCGCCAATTACCCTATGCTTTATATAGTTCCAATATGTGCACTAACACTTGTTAATGTATTTATCCTATTTGCGTCTTTCATCGAAAGATAGAAGAGTCACATGAGGGGAATATATTTGATCGTTATCGAGAGAGACTTTCGATTAAATTAAGGGCATGTTTGGGCGCCCTATCTATCAGAATTTGGACCGTTGGTAAGCATTTTTTGGACTGTTGTACAATTAAAAATTGCAAAAATTCTGACAACTTTGCAGTACCTAATCAGACCATTTAGACTCACATTCCCAAATTGACCCTCCTCATTATACGAAATTTCAAAGGCTGCAAGTCTACTCAAAATGGTCAAAAGTGGTGATAATTGGATGTGAGAGAAAGTAGTGAATTTACACATGCAATGAGGTCCATTTCTCCAGAACACGTGTAAAGGATGGCTGTAGTCGGACATTTTGATTTGACTCAAAAATCGATTTTGGTTTGGGAAAATCTCTCCCAAACACACCCTAAGAATGTTGACCAACATGAATGATTTTAAATTGTCACTTTAATTGTTACTAAAAATAAAATATCAGGGGGATTCAACATTTTAGCAATGCATCTCACATATTTGAAAAATACATTTACTCATTTTAACTAGTTTAATTGATAATTTATGAATTAGTATAGAAAAATCACAACAATTTTTTGCTAATTGATTAAAGTTACAATTAATTTTAACTGAGTCAAACACATAATTCTTGTAGGTTCGACACTCTATTTATCATTATATTATTTGATCACGATTCCATGCACTTGGAGTTTTCAAAGGATCATCGACGGTAATAATATATTTTTGTATTATTATTATTATTATTATTATTATTATTATTATTATTATTATTATTATTATTATTATCGGTAGTCTTGTAAACTTTATTTCCACTTCTTTAACAAAACGTAATATAAAATCTCAAATTTTATTAAATTCCAAATAAAAATAATTCACGTTGAGATCAAATCCTGACTCGTGTGATGAGAGTGAAACATTGCTATGTCGTACAGGGACGGACTCAGCCTCGAAGTTGAGTCCGGGCGGACGTTGACCGGTCAACGTTGCAGTTTAGCACGTGTGCAACACATAAATCGGTAATGCTTAGCAATGTTTTAATTCAAGCATGAAGCAACACCTTATTCCACCTGATTCATAAAAATAAATAATTTTGATATCTTAACGTGTTATAAAATTATGAAACTTCCATCAAACCTGGTCTTGACGTTTTTCAGGCCATGGAGGCTGGAGCCGAAAAGGCTCTTTTAGAACCTTGCTTTATATCAGCTATTGTTGTTTTTAAACCTGCAGTAGGCAAAAAATTTATTGAATTGAACAACATTTACAGGATTTACAACAATCCTTAAACCTCAAATAGTTATAGCATATAGATTAATATAAATGGAGGCTGAAATTCGACCATACGTTTGGCCAATTGTTAAGTAAGTTTCTTCAACTGGCTTTGCTAATTGCAAGGGTGTGCCCCCGGCGTCTAATAGCAGGTCCGGAACTCCACAGCTTTCACTTTTCTTCTCTTCTGGTCGTTCGTCTTCTCCCTCCCGTTTTCATTAAAAGTAGGTGTGTGGCATAATTTCCACTTTTCATTTTGGAATTGAATTAGGTTTTATGGCTAATGAACCCATATATCCATTCCACTGGTTGACCAGACCAATAACCATGGATTGGGCCCATTCATTGAAAAGGCCCAAACAATGAAACAATTACAAAGGGGAAAAAAACTCAAACCCAATGGCTTTGTCTTCTTCATTCTTTCATTTCAGGCACAGGAGCACAGGCGACACTTCTTCATTTCTTACCAGTTTTTGGCGGTCGACGGACGGAAACCTGAAGCTCCTGGCGAACCCACACAGGTCCTTGCCGGCGCCGGTCGGTCCGACGGAGCCCAGCACGGGCGGCCTCCCCCGTCGCCGGGTGCTGGGTCCGTCTCTGATGTCGTAGATCTAAGTTCGAGTTTCTCTTGGAGTTAGGTTAAAATAATTATAGAAAAAAGAGGTCATTTTCAAATAATTTAATGATTTTTGGAATATCAATAAATCTATGACAGGTGAGGAGATCATTTAAATAATTAGAATCAAAATTAGTATTTTAATAAGAGATAATTGAAGAAATTGGAAG